AATCCTGAAAAATACTTGGGGGTGCTTAATTTTTTTCCAGGTGTATATAAACAATGAGTGTATGTATTACAGAAACTGGTTTGTTTACCCCCAGAGAGGCAAGCACCTTCTCTACACTGTACACTACCAATTGTTAGTTTAACAACAGCCACCCATAATGTACAAACTAATGGCCAGTTGTATGCAACCTTTCTCACTATAAGTGCCCTCTAGCAACATGTAACTGGTAGACTTGACAATATCTTGAGGTTAGTGAGATAACTCACTAAAATGGCTGTATTTCTTCAATGTACTTTTCTTGGATAATATTGAGGGTCAACTTGCATTTCCACAGATAATACATACCAAAGTATGTGATAAAATCATGTTTATCACTACTTGGTGTCTACTTAAAAACACTGATAACTCAGTTTCACTCTGATAGTTCTATATTATAGCTGCAAGAATGTTATGGTAAGTGAACTGACAGTCAAACTGAAGCCAGCTATTAGTGTTTTTATGTGGATATCTCAAAGGTTTCATAGAGCCCAACAGTATGTGAAAAATGTGAGAAAAAGTACTAAATACATTCACAGTTTACAATTGTAAAGAAATACAAAGGTAAGCTTTAGTCGTGAATAGTACATATAAAATGTCAGGATTTTTATATATATATATATATGTGGACTAAGGATTCTTCTACAGTAGGTGTCTGTAACTTGTTGACAATATACGGACACCACACACTCCCACTTGTTTTAAAATAATATATTCAAAACAAGTCAAACCATTTACCAAAATTCTTTACACTATTGATATCACAGTTGTATCTCAAACTCTAAATAATTCACTTTTCTTGTCAAAAGTCCACACAAGCTCATTCAGTACAATTGACAATATGAACTATTTTTCTTTACTCTTATCACAATAGTATCAGAGAATGATTCACTTACGCTACCCCATGGGTTATCACAGTTGTATCCTGAACTTCAAATAATTGTCTCCTTTTTGTCAAATCCACACAGACAGGTTCAATTACTTTAGAACACCCTTTGACAAGACAAATTATTCTCCTTATCTCTATTGAACTGTAAAACTCACTTTAAAATATCGCTTGTTATGGCTAATCGTTCAAATGCCGGCTAACTTCACGTTTTCTTTCACTAACTAATTTTCTGACTGAACTACACTTGACTTTACTGAACTTTACTTCTTCAGTTCTTAACTTGCTGTTGCTTGGTCGCTTATATTTATACCTTGATCACTGATGCCTCAAACTTTCTGTAAAGTATGCAACATGATGATTCAACAATACTCAGTTAAGGTCACAAGAAAAATACTGAAGATTTGAGTGATTTTGACTGCCAAATTATGGAAGTGCTCTTGTGTGGTTTCATCTAGAACTGAATTTCACTGGTCACAATACACCAGATTTTCATTGGAAGATGGCTACTGAAAATCAATCAACCTTTCATTTCTAAATAAATCAAATTACTAGTCAGAGGGGGAATTTAACTACATTATTGCTGCCCTCTTAAATCAGAGATTATTATTAGAGCTGGGCAAATCACACCCTGAAATGTCAGCTACAAAGAGAAGTAGGAACACTTTTTAAGGGAGATTCATCCTTATCCTGCAGAGGAGTAGTTCATCTTGCTGAAAGACCCAAGACTCTTGTGAGAAGCTTGTCTTTGTTTTACACTGTTTCCTACTTGCTGATTTTGTCTTCAAGTCACCTTCAAATTAAGTTTGTTTCACTCTACTTGAATCCTAAATATGGTTTGTTTCATTTTTCTTACTTTAGAAAGTAAGATTTATACTGCTACTGACTATCAGCAGCCCAAAATGTCACTTATGGTATCAAAGTTTTCACTAAAAAATATTTCTAACTTTCAAGTTTTCTATTTCTCACAGAGCATTACTCTAACTTTTTATCTACTTAATTTTATAAATAGAAATAAACTATTTTGAACATCATATTGAAATTCTCACATGGTCATGAGGTTTTCGGATGTGTGTGAACTTCCACGACAATTATATATTTTTATGTGATATAAAACAAATAAATGATAATAATGTAACCTGTATGATTACAAAAAAAAACAATATCAGTAATAGTAAAAATTAGGAAATGTAGTCATGATATTAAATTTATTTGTTGTTAGAAAAAGAATATCAATTTCACTCAGCTAGACCTTTTTATGTAAGACATGTTGACACAGATGATAGAACTGTTATCGGATGAACTAATACACGTGTAACTAAAAATACACCTTCGGTAAAAGTATCACAGAGTAATTTTAAAGATTTAACATTCTTGTTGTATCTATTAAAAGAACATTCCCACTGTTGGAATAAAGAAACATAATTACTATCTCACAATTAAAATAAGTCAAGTAATAAGAATAATCTTTAACCCTTTAAACACAGGCAAATGAAATTCCCATCTGCTTGACTAGGGTAGAACATTTATGTAAAAAACAGAGCAACTCTGTGCATTATAGTGCATTATCTCATAAGATTTTGTTATAAAGTTTATAAGCATTTTGTACACAAAGAATCACATTATTCTAATTACATCTTTCTAATAAAAATGTTATTTATCTATAGTAGTAATCTGCACTCAAGACTCTTAAAATAGTTCGAGTGCCAAGTGATTTTCATTTTAAGTATAAAAATACTTTTCTTCATCTTATAGTTTCATATTTCATTTGCATAACCTCTAGAACTTTCTAAATGAATATCAATATTTTATTTTCGTTACCGTATTACTAACTTTAGCTAATATCATCAACATACAATGCAATGAAATGATTAAAATTAAGAAATATACATACCTTTTGATTTTTTGTAGAATATTATTAGAGATGCTGTTTTGCTTATATTCGGTATTTTCCTTTTCACATACAGTAAGTTTTTTAATGTTTTATTTTATGTTTTTGTCCTTTACCACTTATTATTCATCTGGACACAAATCAACAATGCCTTCAAGGCATGTTAAAGTTTGTTTGGGAGACACGTGCAACCCTTCAGCAAAATTTTCTTTCAACATGTAATATCCATGAGAATGGATGCAAATTATGATGTATATTTAAATAACTTTTTAACCTTTTAATTATGCATTTTAAAACATAAATAATACATAATTAATCAAATAATAAAAGTGAAACCTAAATACAATTTAAATTGTATCTCTAACTATAACACATTCAGGTAAGAAACAATCATAAGTGTTGTTGTAGATCAAACTGCCAACAACACAACAGTCAGTTACATGTACTCCATGACAACAACTTGGTGCCAATTTCAAAATAACCTTTGTTAGATTATAGTGTAAAATGAGCTCTTTTTAATGACTGTATACATGTATATGTAACTTCTTCATGTAAGCTATAAAGGTCAAACAAATTGTAAGGTGGGCATGGCAAAGGTCAGGGACTGAAAAAATTACTACTTGTTTCAACTGTATTCATTCAGAGTACTTTGAAATGAGCAAGTCAAAAGGTTATATGTAAGCAACTTATTGTCTAGATGTACTTCTACTCAACTACCATTGTATTATTGAACATACAGAGAGCTAAAGTAGAGAATGTTCATGGCTTGTGGGTCATGTGATAATACATCTGAAGTTAAGCATATCTTTAAAGGTTAAAAACTTAGATAATATAAATGTTTGAATCATGACATATGTTTTAATGTTAATTTCATTCACATACATTAATATTACAGGTAGTTAATTAAATTTTGAATGTAACACAGTGACTTGTGCAGAAAAGAGTTAAAGTTCAGTGCAGAAAGTTACTATTCTTACCATAAACATTCATACGAGTAAAGTTTAACTTTAAAAGTACAAGAAGGGAAGATAATTTTACTTGAAAAACATGAAGATTTTTACTCTTATAATGTTTAAGATAAAAAATGTTTGACTTATCTGAAAGCAGAAGAAATTTTCTTAAAGTAAATACAAGAAGTATTTCCTTATTCTTATAACAAATCAAAAGTTAATTTTTTTTTCAATGTAAGATATGTAAAACAAAGCATAAAAAAAATATTCTTTATTCAAAGTTAAGAGTAAAAGAATATTTCATACCTCCAAAGTAAAGGAAAGAATGGGGTTTGTTTCCCCTCAGGTCATAGAATGGATGCTGTATGAGAGACGGAATGGTTATCTCTTCTTCTAGATTATCTATCTGAACAACCAGTTTTCCTGAACCAGGTTCTATTCTTAGGAACACTTCATGCCACTTGTCACGATTTAGCCCTGATTCAGATATAAACAATGAATGACAAAAATCATAATGCTAGACATCACTGTATAGAAGACAACCATTTTACTGTAATAAAGGGTACATCATCTGACTAGGTTATTCAAGGCTAAGCTGTCAACAGGCTAGGTTGTCCAAAGCTAAGCTGTCAACAGGCTAGGTTGTCCAAAGCTAAGCTGTCAACAGGCTAGGTTGTCCAAAGCTAAGCTGTCAGCAGGCTAGGTTGTCCAAAGCTAAGCTGTCAGCAGACTAGGTTGTCCAAAGCTAAGCTGTCAGCAGACTAGGTTGCTCAAAGCTAAGCTGTCAGCAGACTAGGCTGTTCAAAGCTAAGCAGTCAGCAGACTAGGCTGTTCAAAGCTAAGCAGTCAGCAGACTAGGCTGTTCGAAGCTAAGCTGTCAGCAGACTAGGCTGTTCAAAGCTAAGCTGTCAGCAGACTAGGTTGTCCAAAGCTAAGCTGTCAGCAGACTAGGTTGCTCAAAGCTAAGCAGTCAGCAGACTAGGTTGTTCAAAGCTAAGCTGTCAGCAGACTAGGCTGTTCAAAGCTAAGCTGTCAGCAGACTAGGCTGTTCAAAGCTAAGATGTCAGCAGACTAGGCTGTTCAAAGCTAAGCTGTCAACAGACTAGGCTGTTCAAAGCTAAGCTGTCAACAGACTAGGCTGTCCAAAGCAAAGCTGTCAACAGACTAGGTTGTCCAAAGTTAAGCTGTCAGCAGACTAGGTTGTTCAAAGATAAGCTATCAGCAGACTAGGTTGTCTAAAGCTAAGCACTCAACAGATTAGGAGCATCAATAAAACATAAACAAGGTAGTCGGCAAAGAAGTTTCTTCTTCTCCTTATATTTTTCTAAGTTTACATTGGTAATTGCTTGATGTTTTAAGTTAGTTCCAGTCTGCCAGATGTTACATTTTGCATTATTTGTATTTTATTAACAAGTTTCTTCACACCATGTAGATTTTAAGTTAGTTCAAATCCCAACATCTGGACAAGAGTGGCAATGTTTTACAGGTTTTCTGCAGTCCTAAGTCATAAATATGTTGTTTAACAACATTTTATAATTACGTTCATAACTCACTTCAATACTAAACAATATAAAGCATTCACTGCCATGTGCTTCACATGTGGGTGACAACCAACCTCTAGTTATGGACTGCATTACCTACTGGTGGGTCACAGACAATTATATTTCAAAGCCAAACTTCTCTTGTGGCATACAAGTTTGGGACACTGTGACTACTCCTCAGCACTTCTTGAATGGCACTAGGTAATACTACTGGTGGCATTGAACATGTTAAAAACACTTTCAAAACTTTGTTCTTACCTTTTCCAATCAAGTAAGTCTCTTCAGTTCCATCATGACCAAAAATATGGATTACTTTTAGTCTCCCATTCTGCAACATTACATAAAGTTCATAGTTTGGAAAATCATCTACAGGTAGCTCTCCACCATGATACACAAGTAGTCCATGAGGCTTACGTGTTCTTCAGAATAACAAAACAAATCATTTACTAAAAAGCATTGTAGGTTCAGCAAATATATTTTAATGTGACACTATTCTTATTTATATAGTTATAATGTATTTATTTGAGATTAGAATGACTATCATGGCACAAATTATCTAAAACCAAATCCTTTCAGATATAAGCTTTGCTTTATAAGAAAAATTACCATATGAATGAATCCACTTCAAAAGTCCTTCAAACAATGATAGGAAATACATCAACTTTTTAAGACATATTACTATTTTGTTACTATTCTGAAATATCACTTAGGACTCAGACAAAGCAAACTACTGAATAATAAGTAAAGCAAATATTGTAACGTTACATGAAAAGACAGTAATTTAGTTCCCAACATAATCAAAGAAAAGTGTTCATTTTGTTTGATCCATCCTTGTACTGTGTATCTACTACTGCAGATATTAATAATGACAATACCAACTACTACTGCAGATATTAATAATGACAATACCAACTACTACTGCAGATATTAATAATGACAATACCAACTACTACTGCAGATATTAATAATGACAATACCAACTACTACTGCAGATATTAATAATGACAATACCAACTACTACTGCAGATATTAATAATGACAATACCAACTACTACTGCAGATATTAATAATGACAATACCAACTACTACTGCAGATATTAATAATGACAATACCAAGTTTTCTTTGGTGTGTACTCAATAGTCAACAAGTAACTCTTACTTAATTCAGCTACCAAGATGATCAATTTTTTCTAAATATTCTGTATCACTTTAAGCTATGGCTGAGTTTCATATATTTTGTAAATAACCAATTATAACAACTCTTGACGAATCTATATATATAAATATAAAAGTACTGTCTGTTGTCTGTCCTACTTTGCAAGGTGTGAATGGATCTTCACCAAAATTGGTAAGGAAGTTCATTAGGTCCATGCAGGGTACATACAAATTTTCAGTTTTGCATTTTGCACTTTGTTTTTTTATGAGCAATTTTTCTTTTTTTACCACTACTTAGCCCCCTGAAGATGGATCTTCACCAAATTTGGTATGGAAGTTAATTGGGTCCATGTGGAGATATATATAAATTTTCAGTTTTGCATTTTGCAGTTATTTTATGGGCATTTTTGCATTTTTTAACACTACTTCATCTCCTGTGGATGGACCTTCACCAAATTTGGTGTGGAGATTCATTGAGTTCATTGGGAGATACATACAAATTTCCAGTTTTGCATTTTGTGTTGTGCAGTTTTGTATGGGTGTTTCTGCATTTTTTATCACTACTTTCCCCCCCCCCCCTGTTGATGGATCTTCACCAAATCTGGCAAGAAAGTTTGTTGGGTCCATGGGTATTTTTGCTTTTTTTTACAATTACATATAAGGGAAGCAACTTTTCATTTCCTAAGATAGCCTTTCATTAATCATGAATTTACATAACATAATTTATATACAGGGGACAGGTACTCCAGCTAATAAAGAATATTTTTAACTATAGACAAATTTACTTCACCTTATACCAGTTTGTTTTTCAGTCTGGCTTTATTCTATTTATGAACAAACGAGTCTCTGCTTTAAACTTTCTTACTCTGTGTTACAGCACAGCAGCATTAAATGATTACGTACATCCATTTGATGGTTTTTGTTAACAGCTTACACATCACAAAAATAAAATGCTAACACTTGCTTTTTACATCCATGAGGAAATCTTTAAAATACTTAGAGACTAATCATAAGCATCTAAGTTAGTTATGAAGACTGCACACCTTTTTTTTTCTTTTAGGGTGGGGAGGGGGATTAGTTGCAACTAGTAATAAATTAGTTAAATGCAATTAATTAATAGGCCCATCAAGTAATCAATCACCAAATACCACTAATCATCCAGCTCTATTTATCAAAGTAAAAAGGTTCAGACATTGGCTTATATAATTAAACTAAAAACTAGTCACATTTTAAAAAACAAAGAATATTTCACAATTACAAAGTATGTAAGTGTTAGTCTAAAATGAATGCACCCTAACTTTAGGAACCAGAAACTGCTCCCCCTAAATTTCACATCCATATAATGCCAGCATTATGAGCATCCATAAAACGAACCCTGCATTCTAGTCTGTCTATCTCTAAAGTTATTCCTGCTTATGGGAAATTAAAAAGATTCTAGTGAATCTTCTTTCTAGACTCTTAGTCTTCATCCATTCATATTTAAATATAAGGAAAAGAAGCATCAACACATTATAAACACATGCAAAGTTGAAAATTAAATGTAAATATGTCAAAAATCATCTAAACCTAAAAATCCAACAATTAAATGAGGAATTACACAACTGCCTTTGGCAAAAGCTGAATCTATTCCAAAAGTCTGACAACCATATTTCAAAATCTATAAGCATATTTTAAAAAAATGGGGAAGAGAACTTTGGAATATAAGAGACAAAGAACACATTAAAATGAGAGAGGCCTAGTTCTCACAGATCTCTCTCAAATTACCCGATGCATTATGGACTAATCATATGAGCTTTATAAAACACGCAACCAGAAAACAAACTTAATAATCTGGGCACTTTCCTTCATCAGGGGGTAAATGGCAAGAACACTTATAGAAATTTTAATTTCACTTCAACATCCCCCAGAACCAGGATTATTGGACTGAATGAAACATGTATGAATCACACAGAAAATCAAATAACAAAAACCACAATAAATGAAGTGATGAAACCATTTGTTAGTAGCTCTGTAATACAGTATTGCAGTTCCTTTAAATTTAAGGTGCAATGCCATACTTTAAAGTCAAACCTTCAAGTAATTAAAACAACACAAAAGATCTTTTATGATGAAACACTGAAGATAAACTTAACAAGTACACACTAGTAGGAAATCCAGATACATCCATCACTTTGACTCAAAGCAGTCATTCAAATACACTCTCCCCACTTTAAAAGTTACATAATTTCCCACCAGGTGGAGTGATTGGCAGTTTGAGACACTCTCTCATTGTTTAATTTCTTAGGAAATCAGTTTGGTCTCTACATCCAAAAATAATGGATGAAAAAATTGAGGGTTAATCACAACTCGTACATAAAGTTGTTAAAAGTATGAATCAATACACTTCTGTAGTTCCTGCCACAATTAACCATGAACTTCAAGTCAAACTATGGCAAAATAAGTAACAATTTCAACTAACCTGCTTAATTCTTAGCCCCAGCTCATGAATGAGTAAGCTCTCATTTATACAAAGATCTTGTTCATCATTTGCCCTTGTTAATATCTTAAACTAATTTGAACGGATGACTATGTCACATTCACATAGATCATGCTCCAATATGCATGATTTACTTATTGTTTTTAAATTTGCATGTTCTTTCACCTGTGTCAGTAGCTTTCTTCTCGTAAGCCAGGATAACCTTGCTTACAACAAGGACAGGTAATTTATAAACAGGATTTTCAACAAAGAAATAACATCTATATATCTGAAAAAGTACTTCAGCCAACATTTCAACTGTACATGTGGATACACTTTATGAAGTAAGGTGCATAGTTGTTTTTAACATACATAGAACATTTAACAATATATGGCAAGGCTATATAGACTGAACATTTAGAACCATCATATGTTGGTAAGTTTACTAAATTTGTTTGTTTGTATGAATATTCAGGAATAATTTGATCAATCAAATGAATTTGGAAAACCATTTTTTGCATAGAAATATTTCTATGTCGTCAAACTAAGTAAAAATTCATAAGTGCTTCACATTTTATATGCACAATGATCTAAGAGCTTCAAGTTTTCTTTAACACAGCATATAAATTGTAAAATTTAAATAAATGCCAGTAAATGCTTTTTGTTGTTTTGTGTGTGTGTAAACTTCACATTTAAAGCTGCCATCGTAATTATGAACATTTATCGTGTGTCTAAAACACAAGTTTATCATCTTCCTGATGTTCAACAATGAATTTAAGAATTTTGTGCTTATCTGAGCCTAGAACATAGAACTGTCATCCAATAACATAATGAATTAACAGACTATGAAAAATTCATGAAAACAAAGGATTAGCTAGAGAAGGAGCCAATTTAAAACCCATAGCTGCACCATCAATTTAATCATAAAGATGTGAATCTCTTAGTGGTAAAATTCATTAACTTCAGAAATACAGATTTTACAATGCATAACTCACTTGAGTTGTCATTGAAAATTAAATCTGCACTTAACTGTATTGCTTCTCTCAAATATATGTTATAGTTCAATGTTAAAAGTAATGCAGTAAACATTACTATGAAATTTAGATTTTGTATTTCACAAGAAAGTTCAAAATTATTTTCCAAGCTATATCTATTAGTAGAATATTTCTTCACCAAATAAAACATGATTGTAAAATATCTCATTTTCACCTACATTTCTTTCACACAATCTTTGGTTTTAATTTAATGCAATAATTTTAAAAACTAAGATTTTCATAGACTAACATTTGTGTGTGTGCTTTCTGGCCTCCTGTTCTTTATGTCAAAAAAATTACACTTATAACAAATTACACAGGCCTGAAATGGTTTTGTTATCTTGTAGATTTTTACACGTTCTACTATAATTCCTGTATGCTGAATCTGAAAATGATATCCATTTTTCTCCATCATGTACAGATTTTTCACAACACATCATAATGCAATACACAAAAGAAAGACCACAACACGTAGTTTTGAGTCTAAAAGACGTACATTTCACACAAAAAAAATCAGGATGAATGAGGATATATGTTCGTTTAACATCAGTGTTCTTTCCTTTTCTTCAGTTTGTTTGTATTTTTCTTAAGAAACATAATAATATAAAATGTTCATTGCGATAAACAAAATAATAATTCAACCTAAGTAAGATTCGTAAAAAATCTTTACATAATAGAAAAAAATGAATATTATTTTCGAAATCTGCATAGCTGAATTATGACAAATCAGTTATTAAAACCAACTTATTTTTTGAACATTTACAGCAGTTTTTCTAAACTAACATTATCAAAACCAACTTATTTTTTGAACATTTACAGTAGTTTTTTAGCTGAATTATGACAAATCCGTTATTAAAACCAACTTATTTTTTGAACATTTACAGCAGTTTTTCCGTTATTAAAACCAACTTATTTTTTGAACATTTTTCTAAACTAAAGTAGATTTACCATAACATTCTATAATAATGTTAGTAACACTCATTTTTTGGAAACCTGAAATAGATAAATTCTAACAATAAGAACGCTATTTACCATATATATTACAGTTAAATACTATTATTAAAACTTGTTTTTATGCTATACTTATGTTGTAACCTAAAATTAGAAGAGTTTCCTGGAAATAAATAATTCAATTAATTTGTAATGCATATTTAAATGCAATCCAGCATCCATATTTTATCCCAACCCTAACAAAAAAGAAAAGATCTATCCTAGTTGAAATTTAGGCACCAACATTTTCAGCAGAAGGTCAGGATTACAAAACAGTATGTAACCATGTTAGTTCAGTTGATTGTTTTATAACTTTAAAGAAACTTTTTGTCTATTTATAACTAAAACCATGGTGATTGAACACTATATGTCAAACAAAAGTTGATCTGAATACACTGGATAACCACATTTCAATGTTCAGAAATATCTTGAAAATCAAAAAATGTTACCCAGTATTTAAAAAAATAGTTAAAATTAACACACTAATGTATAATATGATTTTACTATTTTCTGAACAAATAGGAAATTTAAGATTTCAATAAAAACCAGCAAATCAGCACTAACTTATTATGTTCTAAAACTAAATAAGAACAAAATAAGTTACTGTATCATGAATTAAAAGATCACACCCAGAACACAATATTAACTTCACAAAACCTTACCTAAACTTAAAGCTCATTTCTCTTCTCTCTGGTAAAGGCCAATCTGGTTCTATCCTAAGGAAGGCCTTGGGATGAGCAAAGGTAAAAACTTGACTAGTTGAAGCCACAGCCTTCCCCTCCCCAGTACTTATGAATAAAATAAATAGAAAGATGGCCCCTACAGGAGCACCATAGGATAGGCACATGGCTCCTTCTGCACCTACAAAAACAGAGATAGGAGAATTCTAAATTGTGTGTTCAAATTACATTAGCTAAATTACAGTTCTAACCAGGACAGAATGACAATAGAAAATGAATAAGCAGAATTAAAGCAATAACTATGGAAGAGTAACAGGAATTCTTCTTACAAAATATCCTAATTAAACTGTTAACTCTAAGATTATAATTTAAATACTGCATAAATGAGAATATTTTACAAAGATGTTTTTTTAATTTTTATTTTCCAAGACAGCTAGAATTTTTTTTTACAATTCATTACCAGGTAACTTACATGCACCTGGAAAAACAATAGACAAATCATTACCAGGTAACTTACATGCACCTGGAAAAACAATAGCCAATTCATTACCAGGTAACTTACATGCACCTGGAAAAACAATAGCCAATTCATTACCAGGTAACTTACATGCACCTGGAAAAACAATAGC